CCACAGTCCAAATGTTGTTTCGGCAATCGAAATAACCATCTCCACAGTCCAAATGTTGGTTCGACAATCGAAATAACCATCTCCACAGTCCAAATGTTGGTTCGACAATCGAAATAACCATCTCCACAGTCCATGGTCGTTTGTGCTGGCGATTGTATAAGACAGGTGGCCGTTAGAGCAGGTTCCACTGTATTTGGATATTTGGATGGCCGAAACAGATATTACGACTGTCAAAACAGGCATTTCAATTGTTGAAACAGATACATCTATTTGGTTCTCGATAATCCAAATGTCTGTTTTGATATATTGCAAATATCTGTTTCGATAATCCAAATGTCTGTTTCGATAATCCAAATATCTGTTTCGATAATCGAAACAACGGTTTCAGCATAGACAGTTCAATACGACCCCGCAGATGTCACGTGGATAGCTTAACTCTTGACCGCTTGACCAGGGTGACGTCACCGTGCAGGTCCCTGTGACTTCAAAGCCTGTCGGTGGGTGAGAGGACAGGGCCAGGGACAGAGCAACAATCTGACCTACATGACGTCACGGCCTGGTGTCTTCCCGCTGCGAACCCTTCGACCTTTCAGCGAGCAGGGGCGAGAGGACTGTCCGTCAGCTGTTTCTCACCACAGCCTCTGGGAGGCGACATTTAAGCCCCGATCGCATAGATCCTGCCTTTGACGGGTTGGTTTGGCTTCGTTTGATTTTTGGTTTTTTCTTTGGTTTTTTTTATTTTGTTGGGTTCTTTTTAATTGAGAAAGGAAAAAGGGAGGGTGGGGGGGGGGAAGAGTTGGTTTCGTGTTTTTATGGGTGTTTTTGGTGTGTTTTTTGCAATTGTTGTTGGTGGTGGTAGGAGGGGTGTCTGTATATCTTTTTCATATTTTTGTTGGGTTTTGCATGCGTTTTGGTGCAGAAACAGCCCCGACGACAGAACCACCCTCTCCACCACCACCCTCTCCACCACCACCCTCTCCACCACCACCCTCTCCACCACCACCCTCTCCACCATCACCCCATCCCCCTATCCCCCCTCCACCTCAGTGTTCGCGCGCGCGTTGCTCACAATAACAAAACAAAAAAAACAAAAAATCCCGCGTCGCGTCTGCGTGAGCTGAGGGAAATCAGACTATTTCCGCATTGTCCCCGTGACCCCATGTACCCAAAGGTGAGGTGTGATCGCCAAATGTCAGCTGTATCATTACTGTCGTAATGGGCGGCCTCTCTGTTTCTCTCTCTCTCTCTCTCTCTCTCTCTCTCTCTCTCTCTCTCTCTCTCTGCCCAAA